TCAGCCTCCTCTGCTCCAGGCTGAACCCCCCCAGCTCCCCCAGCCGCTCCCCAGCAGCCTGGGGCTCCAGACCCCTCCCCAGCTTCATACAGCGGGCTCGTTCCTGCAGGCACCTGAACGCTGCGCCCACGCGTGTAGCGAGACGTGCAGAAGTAGCTCAGCATTAAAACCAAACAAAACAGCCAATACTGAAGTTCCTGTATTTAATCCCATCATTTCACAGTTGCGTTTTTTAATGTATTGTGTCACACGCAGATTTTACCGCACGATATAGATGGTGGCTTGTACTTGAGAAGGACAGGTTGATAAAGCCTGGCCCATCTGTCCCTTTGGGCAATTTTTCCCCTGCATTCGGTCCCTGGGAGGAGGAGGAAGAGCACTTCTAAATACCCGCATATCAGTGGGTTCTCTTTAAACTCCACCAGATCAGTGGGTTTCAGTTCTGAAATGAATCACAAATGGGGCGGCGCTCCTCTGAAATGATCAGATGGCAGGAAGACTGCCAATCTGCAGCCAGACTCTGTAGCACGAAGAATAAGGTGATATGGATGTTATAAAAAATGGTAGGAAAACTCTTTCAAGCCCATCTGGAGAGCCAAGTGTCAGGTTATGCAGTTAGAAGTGGCAGATTTCCTATGTAGCATCCAGAGTAGTGGTGACCTCTTCTTCTGAAGCCCACCATACACGTCACCACCCAGATGCCCATCCTTTTCTGCTGAAGTATTTCCCACCCAAGAAAAGCCATTGAAATGATCTCCTTAAATGTAGCCCTAGCTCTGAAAGATTCCCCTTAGTCTTGGGGTGCTTCCTGGGATGAAGCCCACAATCCATGAGGAGCAAGAACGATTGGTGCCTTCGCTTGTATTGCAGATTTATTTATGATTTTCTCGTTTGCCAACGACAGGCTCTACAGGACGTTCAAGGACAGCAAGTACCTGTACATGCTGATGGAAGCCTGTCTGGGTGGAGAGCTCTGGACAATTCTCAGGGACAGGTGAGTTGTAAGAAGCTGTTGTCCTACAAAGTGGAATAGTTTCTAATGTGCCTTCAGATACCCAAAGGTCTTTATCTTTCACGGGCAAAAGTGGGATCTTACCATGCTATGTTTGAGTTAAGATACCAGAAAGGTGAGGAGCTATTTTTGTTCCTGTGCAGTTGACTAGAGACCAAGTTAATCCAGTTATGGCTGAGAAGAAGGACTGGTTTAAGTCATATCCAGCACGTATGAGACTTTGTGTAAGTGGTGACTTACCCAGAGCTATTTTTTCATGGCCTCTCTGAAAAAATTTAGAAGGTAGCAATGGTAGTGGTGGTAGTCATGTGATAAATTGTATCTACGACAAGTCTTTGGCTGCCCTTTCCCTGTGTCTTCATATCTAAAGAGTACCCCTAAATAGCTGGCAACATATCTTAATTTTAATAAAAATAATTATTTAATGAATTTAATTTTTTATTACCTAGAATAGCAACCTTTTGCAACCACAGAAATTACGGCTGTGTCCTGAGAAACTACCGTTTCTCGCGTTTGGGAGCCTGGCATCCGATAGGGAAACGTGGAACCGGCTTAAGGGGAACAAAGACGTTGGGCAGCACGTGTGACGGCAGAGGATGACCCTGCGGGGTGCGGCCGGGCGCTGCAGGAGGTGCGGCGCCAAGGCCAGTCTCGCCGCGTTCCTGCAGGACGCGCTCTGGAGATAGGGTCCTTCCAGCGCCGCCCCTTCAGGCGTTGCTGCCGTGGCCGGTTTAGCCTCTGTGCTCACAACCCACGGCCCTAAGGCAGCAGTGGCGTTGCTGAGGGTTCACAGTTGCAAATGAAATCCATGGGAAAGGGCATTTTCAGGGTAAAAAGTGCAGACTTCTTCCAAGTCAGCTGCAACATCACAAGATCCCAGTGCAGGGAAACACTTGCCTTTTTCATCTGGGCGCTTGTTCTGCTGCCCACCCTCTGTAACTGGACAGCAGCATCCATCTCCATCACCGAGGCTCCGTGATAAATAATATCTGTTAATATTTCTTAATATTTACAACACAGTCAGGCATGATAGTGATGAGCAGGAGGAAGACAACAGTCCTGCATGGGCTTTTAGCCCAGATATCACATACTGCACAAGAGCTGCTCATCCAAGTGGGAAACAGGATCGTGCCTTAAATCCACACCCTCCACGGAGCGCTACGCCATCGGGGCGCACAAGTGCCGTGGACAAACAATGGTTAGGAAAGCGTGTGATTACGTACCGCGCCACGGTGCGCGAGCAAACGTGGTCCTGGGGTTTCCTGCCTTGGGGGGGGTGGAGCGTGCAGCGCTCGGGCTCGGTCGCGGGTGGCTTGGGCAGGTCTACGTGGGACGCGCCCGCGATGCGCCCGCAGGGCAGTCAGAGACGCGCTACAACTATGTAATAGGTTCATCATTAGAACGTCATTTAATTAAATTCGGAAACCAAAAGAAATGCATTGGAAAGCAAAGGCGAAATTCTTTTTTTAATTACCTGGAACGAATTTTTTGTAATTCTTCCTTTTCCTAACCACGTGCCTTCTCCGGAGCGTTAAAGCGAGAACCATAGCAAAGTTAGCAGGCGCCGGGTTGTATTTTTCATCGTCTTTGTCAGCAGCTGATAATTTCATCTTTAATTCTCTTGGCTTTAAATTGTGGTTCTGCTGCCACCTAGCTTAGGCAGCTTCCGAGCTCAGCCAGCTCCCACCGCCCGCTCCCGCCAGGCCGGGGCTATGGTTTGCTTTGGAAAGCTGGTTGCAAACTGGTGCTGAAACGAGGACCAAAACGTGCCGTTCATGCTGAAGTTGCAATTAACACTTCAAGTCCCAGCAACTGTAATTTCTCTGCCTTTTGTCTGGGTTATGAACATCACTGCAGGAGTTCTGGATCTCCACAGCTCAAAATAGCGTGCGCACCCGAAGGTCGAAGATTATCATAAAAAAGTCACCCTTTGCTTACGAGATAATGATTCATAAGTTTTACTTCTATGAGATGAAATTATAAAATAAAACCTAACATACTTTAGATATGAATCTTTGATATGAAAGTGGATTGAAGGCAAGATTGCTAACTTGAAAAATGGAAATGCAATTAAATTTATATATAAAGGTGAGCTCAGCAAGAGACGCTTCCCCAGTATTGGAGTGGTTCTGCTGAACTGTGTAGATACTTGAACAGCAGGGCTCCCCGTCAGGGATGAGATCTAATCACTTTATCCCCTTCCCCTCTCTCGTTTTATGTAGAGGTTCGTTTGAGGATTCGACAACCAGGTTTTACACGGCGTGCGTGGTTGAAGCTTTTGCCTATTTGCATTCCAAAGGGATCATTTATAGGGACCTCAAGCCAGAAAACCTCATTCTGGATCATCGAGGTTACGCCAAACTGGTGAGTGCCTGCAATGTCTGGTTTGGCCAAAACCAAAGTCACCGCTGCTGTCAGACAAGGAGTGTTAGGAGGAGGACACGGGATTAGCCGTAGAAGGTCAGAAGCAAAGTCCACCCAGCCCAGGGTCCTGTCTCTGATGGTGGCCATTGGTAGATGTTGAGATGAGATCGGGGCAAGGGCGTCATCACCCACCACCGGGGTGTTTTCCCAGCCTCCAGGAGACTGAGGCTCAGGCTACAGCTGATCTGGGAAACGCCGATTCTGGCTTGAAATCCAGATCTGTGGTCCCAAAGCGGAAATGTTTAGAGAAGAGCATCAGAAGAAATCCATCCAGCTGTTCTGGAGCTACTGAAAAACAACTTGAAAATAAGTGTCTCAACATATTGGCAGGGGAGGGGGAGGACTTGCGTCTGTGGGCTTTGTAGAAAACTGGTGAAGCAAATTTTGCAGGTCCTCCTTTGTGTAAGCAATAAAAAAAGGCACTCTTAATGGAAATATTAATCATGACCCTGTCATAGCAAGAAATCATTATTATTAATTGCTCTGGACTGTATTGCTGAACTGCAGCCAATACAGCTGCTTGCTTTATGAGGGCCGCTTGTGGTTTAGCACCCATAACACACCTGACTGATCTGGGCAAAGTCCTCTGGGACGACTGCGTACGGTTCTGCCTGACAGTGCTCTTCCCAGAAGGTCGTGGTCCTTCTCAGTGCTGTCCCCCTGCAAGATCCACCTCCTCAAACCAGGATGGCAGCATGTGGAAGACCTCCACCCCCCAAATTAGGGTGTTTCTGATGGGTTTCACTGTCTTGCTTTGTTCACTCGTGATTACTGTAGAGGTGCCCTGCATGTAAGGTACCCCCCAAATGCCAGGTGAGACCATGGAGAGGGGGAGAAGAAAAGAAAGGCTTCCCTTGGTGGGAGGTGCTGGAGGATGTGGGCACTTGGGAAGCCATCGGTGAAGGACAGGGCAATGCAATCCTGAAAACACCTGCATCCAAGAGGGGCTGATGCCCTCCCTGAGAGTCATGGGGGGGGCAAGGTTTCTGCCCCTCGGCTTGGGGACTCTTCCCAGCCTTTGGGAAGGGGAAGCCGGGAGCGGTGTCAGCAGATGGGAGCAGTAAGTCAGACCATCTCCATCATGGCCTGATAGCAGCCACCGTGTCTCACCGTGACACTAAGCCTGATAAATGACATCAGAGTTTATCCTCTACAGCATTTCACTAAGGCTGGGGTGTTGAATGATCGAGGATTAGGTGCAGGACTGTTCTTCTTCCTACCCCAGGAGGATCTGGACCAGGGTCTCTGCTGGTCCCATCACCAACCCCCAGCTCTTCAGGCATTTTGATCTCCCTGAACATATCCATGATAGCGCAAGGAGTGTCCCAGATCTCTTGTGGGACTGTGCCCCTGTAGGACATTTTGCCCCCGAGCAGCACGGGAAGGTGCAGGAGCATCTCACGGCCGTTGAGGGACAGCAGAGTGTGCTGCAGACCACAGCGCCGAGGCAGGGGAGGGCAGAGGGGGTAGAGCTGGAGGGACAGCAAGGCGATTTCCCTGAGCTCTGCCTGGGTCCCAAAGGACGGCTCCGGTTCCCAGTATAATCTGATTTTTCTGTGCTTGCTGGTGCCACAGGGGCGCTGCGATAGGGGCAGGCTGGGGTTTGTCAGCCCGCCAGCACGGTCCAGCAGCTCACGCAGACTGGGAGGACACTTGTGGTACTGCATTGCTCTCATACTGGGAGAGAAATCTGAACTTTTCAGCAGATGCCCCAATGGTCAGTATTGAGCTTAGAGTTCCTTGCTCAGTTTAAGGCTGGGAGTTTAAAAAAAAAAAAAAAAAAAAAAAATCAACCTGAGCTGTGAACGATGCGAAGGTACATCTCCCGGGAAACCCTCGATGCTGGTATTTGTTGTTCTTCCCTCACGAGAATCTTCCTTCTCCGTTACGAAGGATAAATTGGCAAAAGGGTGGCTGCGGTTGCCTGGGTCTGGAACAACCCGCGGTGCTTTAGTTAGGAGAATGTTCCCACGAGGAAGCCTCCGTTCTGCTCCGCTTCACTTCAAGGGGAGCAGAGCGCGCGGCTGACGTCCCCCGTGTGCCCTGCCCTGACGGCGCTCTGCTCCTTTCCCCAGGTCGATTTTGGCTTTGCAAAGAAAATAGGATTTGGAAAGAAAACATGGACTTTTTGTGGCACCCCGGAGTACGTAGCCCCCGAGATCATCCTGAACAAAGGTCACGACATTTCGGCAGACTACTGGTCACTGGGAATCTTAATGTATGAGCTCCTGACTGGCAGGTATGGGCATCGGGGCCGGCACCGCTGCGGAAAATAGAGCCGAATATTTCTGCCGTTGTCACCCTGATTAGGCGAGGGGCAGGTTCAGAGCCGGTGCGTGCCGTAGCGGCACAGCTCTGTGCTGCGGAACCTAAGAATCAGTTTTTCCACGTTAAATTGCAGCTTCCCCACAGACCTCTCAAGAGGGCAAGCTGTGAGCAGGCTGGTTAGGAGGTGCTGGGAAATGACACCCAAACCCTCCGTTTTGGCCCTGAACTATAACTGAGGCTGAGCTGGACGGGGAAGGGGGTTGCAGTTCAGCCGGGGGGTGCAGTGACGGGCTGCTGCGCGTCTGAAAAGGAGGAGGTAGGCCTGGCACCGTGGGGACCCGAGTCCCTACAGCCGTCCCTTCCCTTATTTAGGTTTGGACATGTCTGTTACTGCTCACATTGGCAGTAGCAGCTTCCTTGCCCTTCCTCCCCTCATCCTCATCGCTCACTCCCAGGGTACAGGAGCTGGGAAAGGAGCCATCACCTCAACCTGCTTATCCTGTGGGGCTAGACCCAGGCCAGTGGAACCTAATTAACCCCCGCTGAAAGGTTGTCATGACATCAAAGGAAGAGAAGGAGCCAGCGAGCGTTGCTGGGACCCTTGGTCCTCGGGCTGTTGGGGCATGGGCCCTGGTGGAAGCGCGAGGTTTAGTGTGAGCTGCCGCCGAAAACACACCTGTGGTCTTTGGTGCTTCCCTCCAGCCAGCACCGCTGACGGTGCCGGTGCTCCTTGGCTGAGAGATGGTTAAGATCAGAGGAAGCACGGCATTGCTCGTTGTCATCTACCTTCTGTTTTAAAGGACAAGCTTTTAATCGTTTTCTTTTTCTTCTCCCCTCTGAAGTCCCCCTTTCTCAGGCCCCGACCCCATGAAGACCTATAACATCATATTAAGGGGAATAGACATGATTGAATTTCCAAAGAAGATTGCCAAAAATGCTGCTAATTTAATTAAAAAACTATGCAGGTAAGCACACGAAATATAATCACCTTGATCATCTTTGCAAAGAAATGAGTCGTTCAGAAGGATTAAGGAAGTAACCCATTTGATATTCTTTTGTAGGGACAATCCATCAGAAAGATTAGGCAACTTGAAAAACGGCGTGAAAGATATCCAAAAGCACAAGTAAGTGTCTTCTCCACCGTCCATCAGACCCAACCCACAGAAACACGCGTTTCAAACACCCATTTTCAGCAAAAAATGCTCATCTCAGACTCCTTTGGCCTTTCCCTTCTAGTGTCCTTCAGACTGAAGTTCCATCAGACTTTCCTTCCCCCGTGCTTTGGTGGAGGTGCCAGCCTTCCCTCTGAGCCAAACACAGTGCACATCACCCGTTACACTTTAATTACTGTAGTGGAGAAGAGTATTTGGGAACAGTCCAACTCAGACACGGCCTGCTTGGATTTTTGTTTGCTTGTCTGAGGAATGACTTCCCAAGCCTTTCCTTGCTGTCCCTTCCCCCCAGCCCAACACACTTTCTGTCTACCTGTAATGTTAATTCATCGTCCCTCTTGGTCTGATGGGAGAGGGTTGTTGCATGATGTCTCATAAGTTTTCACGCTGCCAGAGGGGAATAAGAACATGTCAGAGACCCATTGCAGAAGCAGGTTATCTCATCCGTTCGTGCCGGTCCTTCTCCCACCCCCAAAGCGACAGGAATGGGTTGGACGGACATTCTGGGGTGGACAGATTGAAGACTCAGCTCAGGGTTCATCCACCCACCTAAGCTGCTGTAGCTCGAGCAAACCCGAGGGGCCCAAACCAGGAGGAGGACATCCCTGTGCAGCTCCCAGTCGCACACAAAGAAGGGGCGTTAGGGGCCTCGTATGGGAGGGATTGACCCTGTAGGAAGGAAGGAGCAGCTGCCAGGCCACCAGGAACGGTGTCCTTAGGAGCACTGGCAATTTGTACTCGCCGTGGTGTCACCACTGGGCTGCTATGCACGCTTCATTTTCAGTCCCAAAAAAACTTAGACGAAGATGACAAGAAAAATGATTAAGGCTAATTGGCCAATTTGAAGACTATGACTGCGGGAGATGAAATCCAGTGTTTAAGCGAGTTTAATTGCCTCTTGTGCTCCAGAGAGGATTTCTCCGTATGTCTAACCGTTCCGTTATTCCCTCCCTTCTAGGTGGTTTGAAGGCTTTAACTGGGAAGGGTTGCGAAAAGGGACGCTGACACCTCCTATAATACCAAGTGTAAGTTTTCCTACTTGTTTTCTCTTTCCCGGCCGATAGGTTTCTTTTACATGAACGTTGTGAGCCTGGGGCGCTAATACACGGTAGATACGTGCATGTGCTTTGTTTCTTCTGAAGATGCTTGAAGAAGTCCCGTCAGAGACATTCCCAGCTATCCTTGGTCTCCGGGCGGTCCCTTCCAGGAGAGGGCGGTTTAGGGAGGGCACGACCGCAATGAAATGCCCTTCGCAGCGGGAGGCCGGGGCAGGATCACTCACTGCTGCACATTTTTCTCCTCCTCACCTGCTCCACTCGTTTCTTCATCCACGTTTCACATTTCACTGGAAAGCTGCCACTTCCACTCCCTCTCCCTGATGCGCCCTCTTTCTTTCTCCTTTATTCTTACTTCTTTTGGCGAGGCAAGTGGGATTTGTGTGCCATCTCCCTTTTCTTTTGCATTAACCTTTCCTTCTGTCTTGTCTTTTGTGCTTTTCACCTTTTTTTTCCTGCGTCCGTGTCCTACATGAAAAGCCCTGTTACCGCCTAGTTTATGTTTAACTGGGAGCAGCCGCGGAGGGACAGCGCAACTCATTTTCCTTTGGAGCAAAGCTCTTCCTTTGATGTCTTTGTGAGCTCTTTACCCACAAAGCCTGCCGCAAAGGGAAACCAAACAGGATTAGCTGATAGAAATTACCTTGGCCCCTTCTGTTCTGCAGCCTCCCCTCCTTGTTTCAACTTAATCCCTTTCTCTTCGTGCCTCTCCCGTGGGATCACCAAGAGAATGACATTAGCAATCGCGTTTAATTGCACCCCGTTGCTCCGTCCACCCATGGTCCTGCACCTCCTGCAGCAGCAGCAGGCACGGCTCCGGGGCTAAATCTGCCATCCCAAAGTTTTCTTAGCAGCTGTGAAAGAGCAAGAGGGTTTTGCATCCCCCCCTTTTGCCCTATGGGCTCCAGAAGTGGCTGGCAGCTGGTGGGAGAAAGCAGGGCTTTGCAAATACCTGCCTAAACCCGGATGCCTGAAGAACATGTAAATGCTTTATAAATCAAGACTGGTTTTTCTGTTAAGCTGCTTTTTAATGATTATTATTAATTTGTCAGCAGCACTGTTCACCACATTTCAAGTCAGACAGTAAAGTCAAGTTTGCTCCCTTATGTCCAGTTTCAACTCCTGGTTTACCAGTGCAGGGGGTCAGTGTAGCCTGAAAATGCCCCAACGTGTTTCTCTAACAGTTTTTAGTGGATTTTTCGTGTAGTAAGAACATTTCCAATACTGCTTGTACCCTGCGTCTCTAACCCTCAGACAGCACAACCAGCAGCGGTGGCTTCAGCGGTAGCTGCTCTCTGTGGGCACAAATTGCTCCCTGACGTCCCCAGGCTGGGACGTTGCTCTGTCCCCAGAATTGGTCTCTGCTCCTTTGGCATTGCCATGGGCAAGGCCGCTCTCCAGCCCGTTGATCAGGAAATTCTGTTTTCTTTGCTTTTTCAGTTAGGTCCAGCGCAGTAGGAGAAAAGGCTTATGGGAGCATGCATTGGCATTATTCCTTGGCATCACCAAGGCTGTATGTTCATGGGTCTGGTGACGTCCTACCAGGGAACATGTCTGTGATTGCTCCTGAGAGTGGTCTACTGTTGCCCTTTCGGCCAACACACCGCCACCAAGGCTGTCTGAAGTAGACAGGAGCATCCTTCCCTCTTTGGAGGAATCCTTCTTCCAGGACGACTCAGTGCTGACAGCGTTACATTGCCCTAATCCCAGTTCAGCACAGCTCATTCCTTTCTAGAGCTCTTAGGACCAATCTCTTCTTTAAACACCCTCTTGAGATCCTCTCCAAAACCTGCCTCCCTTAACTGCTGAACCCCATCCACCCCAAAGCTGTCTGTCCCGCTCAGTCTTGTTTTCCACAGCCAGCTCCGTTGCTTTGGCAAAAGTCCCGACAGCCAGTAAGGGCCACATCTGAAAAGCTCTGGGCGAAGCCGTCAGGTCATCCTTCAGTCAGTGTACCTCTCCTCGCTAGCTGGAAGGGAGCTGGCAGGGCTAAACACAGAGACTGGCTATGTTCCTAAGGACGAAGCCTTCCCCAGCTCTTAAACCCTCCTCAGCAGTTACGTGATGCTACCGGGGAGGCAACCAAAAGCTGCTCCTTAGCTCTCACTCCGCAGGATTTTAGGAGATCTCAGTTTACAGCCTGCTCCTAGGACAGCCCGTCAGGGAGCAGCTGAGCCTTGATGCCACCACCTAAACGTGTGACAGTAGCTGTCCTGAGAAGCTTCTCCTCCCTCTTGCCTTTTCCAAAGGCGTGCCATCCTGCGCCACAGCTCTAGCTGTGCAGAAAGGCGTGCGGGTCTCTGCACCATAATTCATCTCGAGCCCTGGTGCTGGTGAGCAGCTAGGCAGCTCCTGCTGACATTTGCACTCTGTCTCCTTGGATGGACAGGAGATAAATCTCGAGCATCCCTTCTTGGCTGGAGAGGGCCCCGAGGGGGACGTGTCCTCCCGTGTCTCGGACAGTGAAGGGCTGCAGGCCAGGCGGGGGGCCAGGAGCTCAGAGCTCTGGGGAATCACACACAACAGTGTTAGCATCACATAAAGTCCATCAGCAGAGTAACAGCTCATCCAACCTTTCTTCCCCAAATCAAATTTCTTCTAAGAAAAAGAAAACCCTCTACAGCTGAGGCGTTGGATATACTCGGCCTTCCTGTCTTGTCGGATGAACACAAAATGCAATCCATCTCCCAGAGCGGGACTCATTTCCCTAAAGCCTCGCACAGTCATAGAATCATTTGGTTGGAGAAGACCTTTAAGATCAACAAGTCCAACCATACCTGTCCACCCCCAAACCCCGTCCCTCAGCCCCCCCTCTGCCCGGCTGTTAAATCCCCCCAGGGCTGGGGACTCGACCCCTTCCCTGGGCAGCCCCTTCCCGTGCCTGACAGCCCCAAGGGGAAGGAATTGTTCCCCATGCCCAACCTCACCCTGCCCTGGCACAACTTGAGGCCGGTGCCCCTCGTCCCATCGCCCCTTCCCTGGGAGCAGAGCCCGCCCCCCCCGGCTCCCCCCTCCTCTCAGGCAGTTGTAGGCAGCGATGAGGGCTCCCCTCAGCCTCCTCTGCTCCAGGCTGAACCCCCCCAGCTCCCCCAGCCGCTCCCCAGCAGCCTGGGGCTCCAGACCCCTCCCCAGCTCCGCTGCCCTTCTCTGGACACGCTCCAGCCCCCCCAGGTCCTTCGGGGAGGGAGGGGCCCAACCCTGACCCCAGCAGTCGAGGGGCGGCCCCCCCAGTGCCCAGCACAGGGGCACGGTCCCTGCCCTGCTCCTGCTGGCCACACCACTCCTGATACAAGCCAGGATGCCGCTGGCCCTCTTGGCCACCTGGGCACCCTGCTGGCTCCTATCCAGCCCCCTCTCGACCAACCCCCCCAGGTCCCTTTCCGCCGGGCAGCTTTCCAGCCCCTCTGCCCCACGCCTGGAGCGCTGCGTGGGGTTGTTGTGACCCCAGGGCAGGACCCGGCCCTTGGCCTTGTTGACCTTCACCCAGTTGGGCTGAGCCTGTGGATCCAGCCTGGCCAGGTCCCTCTGCAGAGCCCCCTCCCCCCAGCAGATCCACACTCCCACCCAGCTTGGTGTCATCACCTTCTGCCCAGCACTGGGACAGTGACTTCGATAAGCCCTTAGCATCCCAGGCCAGGGGAACGGAACAGACACAGCCTTGGACCAAACACCGAGCCCAGTTCCCACCTGAGCACACATGATGATGAGGTCTGTGTTTGTCCTCAGCCAGTCCAGGAACACCTTGACTGTGAGAAGCAGCCCTTCGTTGAGCAACCTGATCTAGTTGGCGGTGTCCCTGCTGACTGCAGGGGGGTTGGACTCGATGACCTCTAGTGGTCCCCTCCAACCCAAAACATTCTATGATTCTATGATTCTATGATTCAACGCTTCTGCTCCCGGAGGGAGAGCTCACATGGGTGGGCTGAGAGAAACAGAGGGATGTGGTCAGCCCATGGCACCATGGAGAACGGTGAGCACCCCAAGGGTGAAGGCTCTCCAACTCAACAGTGCCAGCACCGACGAACTAAATGGTATTCAGTCCACAGTGAAGTAGCTCGCCGCTCCGTAGTACTGCACTAAGCTTTTACAGGTTGGGTTTCTTCAAAGTGAGTTGGGTATTCAAGGATCTTCATTTTCCCCAAGACATTTTCAGCAGCAGGGAAATGCTAATGCAGCTGGGCAACAAATTAAATTTAGAGCTGAAGTTGGAGCTCTTGTTGATGAAATAGTCTTTTCCCAAGGCTTATAGCAGTGTCCAGCATCAGCTACATCTTCTGGACTGTAGGCTGGGCTCTGGCAGTGGCTCCTCCACCAGCTGCACAAATGAAATGGCCGGAGAACACAGCAAGCGTTCCCTGCGCAGCGCTCCTAGGGCAAGCGCCGTCCCCTCCAGCCTGCACTGGCTGCTTGGGCTCCAGCTTGGAGCACCAATTTTCTCTAGTAAGACCCTGATTATTTTGGTCTGGAGAGCTGCCGGTCTGGTTTTGTATTGCTTCATTTTTTTAAATTGCATTGAAAGTATCAGGGTCTCGTAAGTAAGCTTCAGTCATCGTTGTAAAGCAAAAAAAACCAGAAATTATCTCGCTACGGTAGATTTTGAATGACATTTCCAAAAAAGAAACATACTTGGCCTTCATCCTAGGAAGATGGGTTTCTCTGGTAGGCTCCGTAGGCTGAGCAGCACTTGTCAGGAAACTCGAAGGCAGCAGGGCCCAGCTCACAGCCTCACATTCAGGATCCTGGGGCCGTAAATGGGAAATCCTGGGCTTTGGGGAGCGCCAGGGCTTTTCCAAGTCTTTTTTGCCAACCTTGTAGCCATGGGTGGGACAGTTGCTCTTGAACTAGAGACCCTAGAGGGCCTGGATCGTTAGAGCAGGGGGCTGTGGGAAGTCCTCCTGGGATTCGGCAAAAAGCTGTTGAATGCAGAACGTGTCTTGCTTGCTGCGGTCAGCGATGACCGCTTTTGAACGGTCACGGTTGTGGGATGCAGAGGAGATGCCTGCAGAGGTCCACTTCGATGACCGTCCCCCTCTTGTCCGCTCTCTTCTTTCCTCAGGTTGCATCTCCAACAGACACAAGCAATTTTGACAGCTTCCCGGAGGACAGTGACGAACCACCCCCTGACGACAACTCAGGATGGGACATAGATTTTTAATGTATTTCTCTTACCTGCTTCTGCCTTGCTGAAGACAGCTTCCTGGGACGTGGCTGCCAGCAAACCCGAAAGAACTGGGGAGGATTAGTGCTCGGGGTCACCATGATGCCTTGATTGATGCTGCTACAGTAACTACAGTGGCATTAGGACTTATTGCTTAGATGACAATAGTGCTCTTCATGTTTTATGTTCGAACTTAAAATAGCAGTTGACATGGTGGTCCTGACGCAAAGCCTTTCACCGGTAAAGAAATAAGTTTTCTATCACCGCGACGATCTTGCTACGCTCTTAATTATAACAGCCGAGAGATACGTAGTGTAAGACGCACTTAATTCTAGCTGCAAGGTACTGGCTTTATCAGTAGGATCAATAGTAATTTATTAAGTGCTGTAGCTAAATACAGTGCAAGGTTCGGGCTACTCCCACCCTCCAAACTCTGTGGGTCTTCTGCTGCAGGCCAGTGTAGGAGCAAAGGAGGACCACAACGGTACTGGTCAAAGAGTTCACGTCAAAGCAGTGGTAAAATTTGTCCTTTTTCTTTCCGAGCAGTATTCTTGACAAGACTGAACGTTACCTTTCCTCTTTCTGTCTGAGCATTTGTTTTTTTAGCCTGGTAAAACAAAAGCACAACTGCTCCAGATCCTGTTGAGGCAGACATGGGTTGCGTCTCTCATGCAGCTGAGAACACACGGTAACACGACGTTTGGCGTTTTTTCTTCCTTTCCCTTGGTACAAATACATAACTGCATGGGAAAAAAAAAAAATCATAAAATGAATCCATTTTACGTATAAAATAGTGCTTAAATAATGGTCCTGTAATAAAGTGACAGCAGCCCGCTGGTCTTACCGATTAGCTGTTAGGCATAAAACTAAGCTTAATGTTCACCTTCTTGGAACCCAAAGGGAAAACATGAGGCCCATAATGTACTTTATAGGTGCTATGTACATCCTTCACCCGTGGATGTAAATTGAGTCGACCGCCGTTTCAGAAATATGTAGCAAGAGGCATCGTTCTCCATCCCGCTCTTAGGTGATTTTACGTCTCCGTGTCCGCAGCTCTCCCGTGTTCAGTACAAGGCCAATTCACATAAGAGGTGGGACAGGGCCAGCTTGCTGGCTCTGCGGTATTGCCCCTTGTATTGACAGAGGAATCCTCCCCGGGGTGCCTGCTTGTCGCGTGGGCATGGGACTAAAAGCGCATCGGTTTTGAGGCTCTGTAACAGACCCTGCCCCCCAAAAATTAAGGGATGCTGCCACATCACAGAGCCGGCGCATACGCTGGGAGTCGAAAGATGAGCTTTTGCTCAAAGGTCGTTTGTACGACTTCTGCCTACGCGGTACCTGGGAACCGTTATGTTTTAACAGTAAAAAACTATTTCCCTGGTGGTAGATCCCAACGCTTTCCCATGTTCCTAACGAAAGCGACCCAACAGGGCGTATGAAGAAGGTATTTTCTCCCCTTCTCTGACAGCATCGGCAATGTCTGCTGTTTGCCAGCAAACTGAAGAGCTCGGGCATCGCGACCCCTTCCGAACCGGTCTGTGTTGCTGAATTTGCTCCCTGGTTTTCCCAAGGGTGAGGCGACGCTGTTGGCGCAGGAACTTCAGGTTATTTTCCCATTCATTCATCATTAAAACTTGTTTGCCGTGAAAACCGTAGGGAAGAGACAGTAACTGTGTCTGCCGGGAATGGCTCGTGGAGGGCGGATACGCGCACGCTTCTCAGCCTTTCCCCGAGGGGTGGAAGACGCTGAAAGCCAGCGCTGAACCCGAGGGCTAAAATAATCGCTGGGCATCTTGGCACAGGGGCTGCGGCCTGGAAGCCGGATTCGTTACTCTCATCCCCCTGGTTCTTCGCTCGACGGAGGAGAAAACGTGTTGCGTTTGGTTACTTCCCATAGGAGGATGTAGAGAGGAGTTTGCCCCAAAATGGGGATATTCGGTGGCTGAGATGCAGTTGTCAGTCAGGGGCTCGCCGGGAGGAAAGCATCACAGCAGCCGGGGGGGGGCAACCCGAACACCTTGCGGGAAGGGGGTTTGAAACGGGCTGATGAGTTGCTTCTCTTTTCCTGTCCCTCTCTTCTTGGGCCACGCACGGTCCCTGGTACCTGCAGCGTGCGGCATGCACTGTGCGGAATAGAAGCTTGGTTTGGTATCAAACACCTCGCCCGACTTCGTCACCTTTTCCTAGCATACTTTAAACAACATCCTTAGCATATGTATATGATAAACACCTTCATTTATAAGTAATATATTTGAGTTGCATTATATATATATATATACACACACGTATTCATAACAACAGATTGCCTCTGTGTTCCCACTTCCTCTCCTTCCTTCTTTGCCTCCTTTTTTCTAACATCCGGGACGACAGCGTATTTATGTAAGGGGAAATCGGCTCCCGGATTTACGGCGCCTGCGTTGAGATCGGTGTCGTTCAGCCGCAGCCGACGCGTGGCGTCGCGCAGTGCTGCATTTGCCCATAGCAAACTCTTATTTAACAGCAGGACCACAAGCGACTATTTCTGTAAATAGGTATTTCCGTGTTGATATTTTGTGGCACACATATAACTCTTTTCTTTTAGACTTCCATGACATTATTACTTCATTTTCTTATTTGTAACGTAATGTTTTTAGGTCAAGGTAGACTTGAATTAATGTCATAATTGTCAGTATTATTAAACTCTGTCCGCTGTACTGTTAACTCATCTGTCCCATAGTTCTAGAACATGACTGGCTATCTGGCATTGTTGCAAGTGCCTTAAATCCATGGCATCCTATAAAAAACAAAAAAAAAGTTACGGATTTGGTGTTATGCTGCATGACAAAGACAAACACACCTCAAAATGTCGTCCTTTCTTAGCTTGCTGCGTTTTACAGTTCTTTCTGCTACCGATTTCTAAGCCTTTATTATATACTATTGATGAATTACAGAAATGATGAAGTCGTTCTCTTATTTCTGTTCAATGTACCAGAGCTGTGTATCTGTTAATGAGATACAGAGTCATTTCTGTGAAATGTATAAATGTTATGTGCGGGTCAAATTAATATATGACATCCTATCAGTCCGTAGACAGGTATTCCTGTTTTGCTAAGCTGTGCAGACTCAACCCGTCGTGCCGTCCAGCGCCACCCTTCCGTCGTACACCTCCCCCCCCAGGAATCTCCTGCCCAGCACCCAGCGGTGAGCGCCTCGGTGTGCAGCCCAACCTGCGGGTTTTCACCCGGGACCCCGGCGCAAACGCGCAGCTCCTTGCACCTCTCACCAGAACAGGACCCGT